TCATAGCACCATCTGCTCTGGTGTTTTATTTAAAACCAAAGAGCCTCCTCAGGGCCTGCTTTACTTATTCACACACAAACCCTGACTAACACAGGCTCAGGCAGCAGCTCTCCAGCCAATCACGCACAGGTTTGCATAGATTTATAACTTTATTTTAGATCTCTTTTTGTTTACGAAGTAATTTCATCTCTTTTTAACTTAATTTATAGATTTTCATTTGTGACTACCATAATTCAATACGAGAGGATCTCCAAAGCGGAAAGAAAATCAGGCCCAGGGACATACATATAAATCGGAGGGCCGTTGGCTCCTTACCCACTTTCTTACCACTACTTCCTGTGCACTTGCTTGGACCATCTTAGAACTGGGCCTTCATTCTGATCTCAACTACACACATGTATTATATGAAGCAGGAAGCCAACAGTGGGGGCGTTAAGTAGGGGGCCGATGGACTACGTCCATTTTCCATCTCAGTTTATATTTAATTGTATCTTTGTATTACTTTACTTTATTTTGGTGCACAGTTGTGGCGTTGAGATTAAAAGCAAAAGCTCCATACCAGTGTAATTATGGTGGGGGGTGTGAGTTGAAAGTAGTGCTTGACTCTCCTTCATAAAATATAATATGCATAACATAAAAGCAACCAATCCAGGCACTTTCCCTCTACTTCATGGTCAGGTACCTTTTTTTGGGAAAATATCTGCTGTTATTTGACTGGCGGTAAATGCAAATTTGGAGGTCTTCACCAATTAGATAAAAAAAATTAAGAAAACCGTGCATCTTCTATCTACATGGAGCCCAAACATGATGGTCTTTTGGCTAAGCAATTACACAATATGATTGGAGATCTATGATTGGAGATCTATGATTGGCGTCGATGTATGGAGAAATGAAATAGGAGACGAATGCGCTTTTAATCTAACGGTGGACGAGTGGCTAACACTAAAACCGTGTTTTCCTTGTCTTGTCAGTGTTTATACTGTACAGTATTTAAATGCAGCCTCTTCTTTCATTACCTTGACTTTAAACATTGCAAATGTTAACTGATGATTCACGATGGTTGACATTAACTTAATTGGCATCATATCCTTTGATTAAGGTTTCCCATAGAGCAGGGGTCTGCAACCTTTTTGACCAAAAGAGCCATTTTGCCCCTTTTTCCACCAATTTTTTTTGTCTGGAGCCGCAAAACATATTTGATAGCTTGATAGCTTATACAGTTGTATACATCATAAACTACAGTTGTTCTGCATTTATTATTTATTACATTATAGAAAACTGTTTACCTCTCATAATAAACAAAGAACTCTTATAAGGAGAATTATACAAAATACACAGGCCTACTTTAAAATGAATTAAACACAGCACTTGGGGAGTCCTCTGCACATTTGAAGAAAATGAATATAATTTAAATGGGCCCACTTTGAAATAAATAAAACATATAGCTGCACCCTAAAAAGAGTTAACTGATTGAATTATGACTGAAGATCGTCAGCAGTCTTCCTCTTCCGTATTTTTACTCCAATACGTAAAGGCTGCATCACCTNTTATTTCGGGTGTTTATTTTAAAATGTTAAATAAACAAATTCTTGGCTTTCAGAGTTTGATTTTTATTTCCAAAATCACACGATAAATACATTTTTGAAGCTTGTAAAGGGAAGAAGACAGCTCTCACTCGCCACTCTGCTGTTCCCCTCCCTCCGCTGAAATTATGAATGTAAGGCGTATAGCAGGGTTCCCCAATTATATTTACCAAAGGGCCAATTTTTTTCAAGCATGACAAGCTAAGGGCCAAAATGTTATGTGTCACTAAAAGTTGTTTTACACTATGTGCATATGTTACCTCTATTATAATTGTTGTAGTAGTGGCAGTAGTAATTAAACAAACCCTGTGTTGAGAGTAAAGGAAAAATGCATCCTTGAAACAAAATTAGACCGAAATCAAACATTTATTAACAATAATAATAAATAAATGCTTTAACAAATACAAATGATTTTGCTGTGGCAGACCACAGCAAAATCATTTGTATTTGTTAAAGCATTTATTTATTATTATTGTTAATAAATGTTTGATTTCGGTCTAATTTTGTTTCAAGGATGCATTTTTCCNGTGCTCCATAGAGAGTACCCTTCTACAGGTGCTCCATAGAGAGCATCCTGACCTACAGGTGCACCATAGAGAAGATCCTGACTGGCTGCATCACGGCCTGGTACGGCAGCTGCACCGCCCTCAATCGTAAGGCTTTACAGAAGGGTGGTGAAAACTGCAGAGCACATCACCAGGACGGAGCTGCCATCCATGGAGGACCTTTACTCCCAACGGCTCAGGAAGAAAGCCCTCCGGATTATCAAAGACCCCCATCACCCCAGCCACAAACTGTTCAGTCTGCTGCCGTCTAAAGCATCCGGACTAAAACCACCAGACTCAGAGACAGTTTCATCCCAGTGAGTGAGACTGTTAAACACCTGAACTGCTGAAACAACATCCACAACATTCATCTGCTACTTAGTAATTATTTATCTATTTCTCTAATATATCATTCCAATAACTTGCTTATAAACTCTTATTGCACTATTTCACTATTTCACTTTTTTAAACTATTTTTTCTTTTTGGATTTACTATTTAATATTTACTATTTACTTGCACTATATGTTTATCTGTGTTATTGTGTTGCACTGTTGGAGAAGCCTGTGACCTAAGATTTTCATTGGCATAACTACACTGTAGCTATGTTCGTATGACAACATAAAGAACCTTGAACCTACATTTGATTCTTGTCTTAATATTTTCCTTGCAACAATCCTTTCAGAGTTCATCATAGATCGCAATGAATCAAAGAAAGTAGCAAAGCAAAGGTGTGTCACGTGTTCAGAACCGTCAACTCAGTTTCTACTTGCGGATCTTGCAGTGAGCATTGTTTGGCTTGTTTTGTGGACATCAAAGTATACAAAGAGTAAAGCTTAACAGAAAAGCATAGTGGGAAGAGTCAATGGAAATTTGTGGGAGGTATTTTCCTTTCTGCTACAATAATGCAAAAATGTTTGGGGTTTTCAGGTTGGATCCGAGTCAGATGGTGGATTATTTACCATGTTGGACAATAACTGTAGGAGGGGTTGGTTAAGAACACAGTCAGGAGGAACTGGAGTAGCAAATGGCATGATCTTGGTTTGTGTGTTTCCCGTTTATTTTGAAAAGTTTTCCATTCTTATGCCTTGTCTGGTTTCACTTCCTGTCTTTATGAATTCAGATCATAAATACTGTGATAAAGCGGTAAAGTAAGGTGATGATTGACAAACGGAGCAATTTAACAGCAAAAGCATTACAGCAGGCAGTGTGTGTTGTGGGGTTTCCCTTGGAAAATACACACACACTCGAGCGCACTCACACATTTTCTCCGCACTTTCCCTCATAAACATCCTCGTCCCCAATGCTACTATTTTAAAATTAATTAGCCTAATCCATACAATGAATGAATCTCCCCAAACAATAAACTGCTGCAAAGACATCCAGGATATAATTGAACAGTTAAGAATCTCCTCTAATGTTGTATGTAACTCAGAATTCGATTTGGGGTTGATGTGACGATGTGTCGATAAAGCAGGTCACATATTTACATTATTTATCACCCCCATTTCTTTGTTTTTTTGCCATCCTTCATTTGTTTGTCCCAACTGCTCTTTCACCCTACATTTGTCTGTCAAACTTTGCAGTAGTATGCTAATGTTTCCTCATAAGTCTCAGAATTTCCCAGAATGTACTGTGAACTGTTACCAAGCCGGGTTCTCACTTTGTAAAGCCTGATCAGGTGATTAATTGAGGTAATACATCCTGTGTGACTCTTCTGTGAACCAGTGAGAAGCAGGTATCCATACTGCAGCCCTATTAGATTAATGTGAGTAATAATATGTGATTGAAAGACTGTGGCGCCAATTGGGCAGGAAAATGGAGGGGGTGGTCGTGTCGTAAACTACAGCATAAATCACTGTGACCTCAGGACATTTTCTTTATTCTACAAGTGGATTCCCTGGTAGTTCCAATAAGACATTAGGGGCTCTGTGTTCCAGTCAAATTGCAAGTAATTGGGAACAGAGTCCCATTTTTAATGCTCAGTGCATCACTGGAGCATGGCTGCACTCACTGAGAGGATTGGGCAATTCCCATTCAAACACACAAGCAATTGCATCAATTTGAAGATTTGCGGTTTCTGCTTCAGCAGCATTGCGTTGAGTTATTGGGAATAAATCCTACACAATTGTATTATTATGACCACAAAGAAAGGAACAAACAAATGTTGGAAAATATGGGTGGTCTTTCTGTTTTAGAAAGCGCCTGTCAAGTTGATGCGTGTGCGTCACGCGAGGCAGTCACAATTTTTACAAACATTTAGCCATCCCTGCTTATACAAGTAGTAGTTTTAGTTGTTTGCGGTCTGCGGAGGTCTACTCCCACCTGTCAAATACGGCCGTGCTGAGGTGGTTTTCCCCCGGAGACGTAGCTAAGTGACGGAGCGGCTCCACCTGTTGCTGCTTGCGATCTTTGATCTGCGATGGCCTGCTCCCACCTGTAGAGTACGGCTGTACTGAGGAGGTTTTTACCCCGGAGTCGTCGCGGAGAGACGGAGTGGCTCCACGCTTCGGGCTTGGCCTGCTTCCACCGGGCGCGTGCTGCTGTGCGGAGGAGGATTTTACCACGGCTGGGGCCTGCTTTCCACCTGTCCTGGTTCTGCTGATGCGGAGGCCTGCTCCCACCTGTCGTGTGCTGCTGCGTGTCTTGTGCTGCTTGCTGAGGAGACCTTTCACCCCGGGGATACCCACGGAGGGACCGGAGCGCTTCCGACGCTGCCTCTTTCGCCCTGTCCTTTGCTGCTGTGCCGATTTGCCCCAGGACATTGCGGATACTGTGTGCGTCTGGAAAAATGCCCATATCGGGATTCTGCTGCCTGTTAACTGTTTTTGCTATGAGAAGATCTCTAGTCATTCTGAGACAGTTCTACTGGATTCAGGTCTGTGTCTGCGCCCCATGGCATCCCCTGCAACAAAGAGTTTCAGATGTGTTTACACAAACAATTACCGTTGCCTTGTCACAGACATCTGCTCGGAACAAAATATGTTGTCTTTTTGTTTTCTGCGATGATGGTTTTTCAGGGCTGCTTCTTAGCTCAAATTCACGCACTGACGCAGACTTTTTCCGGTGGATTCTAAAAGTAGATGACAATGTATGTGCGTCGATTAAGAGGAAAAGATGCCTGTTTTTTTTTGTTGCTATTACTGTCAGGAAAATGTGCAACCACCCTGCGTCCGCCCAGTAGTTAGTATTCAGGATTCGCTACTCCTGCTGATTTTAAAGCTAGGTTCTGGGTTGGGTTTTCATCACTTGAATGTGCGCTGTCTGTTAGGTAAAAACATAGACTTTGTCCGCATTTGGGCAAGCTGACTGACGCTTGACGTTCATTGTTTTATCAGAAACATGCTTAAATAAATCTTACTTTGGCCTCTGACATGCCTAAAATGATTATAATGTGTATCGTTCTTAACGGCCTAATAAGGTTGGTGGCGTTGCCATTTATGTTAAGATATTAAGTTCGTGTATTCCACATTAGTTTCCAAATCTATTCAGTAAGCAATTCAAATTTTAGCCTTAATATAGAAGTGGCAAAAGGGAACAGTCATGGTGTGGTGGCGTTAAGACCCCCCTCAGCTGTCAAGGCACTCTCTGTCTTCGCCTAGAATCTTTTATTGCAACTTGGACTACAAGGCAAATAGTGCTACTTTGGAGTTTTTAACGTGGAACTTGACTTTGGGATCTTGAGCTGCTACTCAGATGTTGAAAGTCTTCTCGCCACATAAGCCCCTATAAATCCTCCCTAATTGATCTCATTCTAACCAATGTTCCCTATAAATACTCATCTGTGGGAGTATTTGCGAATTGATGTGAGTGATCACTGTGTTGTAACCACAATTAGGGAACTAAGTGCCAAAAGGGTAAACCTCGTATTATTATTAAGAGAGACATAAACATTTGGTGAGCAGTGCGTTGTTGCTTCATGATCTGTTGGGGTTTGATGAGGGAAAAATCGATCTGTGTGCGATGCTAGAAACTGCATGGTCTTATTTTTATCTTGCGTTTTATGGAA